ACCTTAATCTCGTGGACAAAGTCAAGAGGTTTGGTATCGCCAAAGTTGTGAGTTCAGGGCAAACGTCAGCTCCTCCACTTACTGATGACCAGGGACCTCTTCTCTGTGGGGCACAAGGACCAGTGAGGGCCCTTGTTCCTGGAGGCCTGGCACCAGAAGGTCTCCCGTTGGGCTGCCCCGCTGTGACCAGTGCCATCGGAGGCATCCAGCTCAACACTGGCATCCGGAGGAACCGGAGCTTCCCCACCATGGTGGGTTCCAGCATGCAGATGAAAGGCCCAACGTCGCTCACTTCGGGGATCCTCATGGGAACCAAGCTCCCAAAGCAAACTAGCTTACGATGAAGGACCTTATTTTTACAGCTAGTCTTTTTAAATAAAACTGCTCTGATTCTGGCTCCGATCCTGTTCTCCTGTCCCCACCACCCCTTCATTGCCTCTTGAGTTTGACAAATCAACTTTGTGCCTAATGGGGGAAATGTGTAAACTTTGTATAAAATGTGTAAATATGTACCAGATCTATTGTAACTAATTGCATTATTTTACTGTTTGATTGAGTGCAAAAGGCTCTACGTTACGATTGCTGTATTAAGGTTAACTTGCTAACCTTTTGAAAATGTTGTTTTTTTAAGATGCACTGAAAAAATAACAAAAGAACAAAACCAACGAAAAATAACTTGACTAGGAAAACGTGAATTCTGTAGCTAGCCTAACTTGAGTCGAAGGTGCATAGGAAGCTCTTGAATGTGTTTTGTGAGATGTCACATTACATCACTTGAAGCACGGGAGTGTTTGTGCTTCGTTAAATACTGAAAAAAGCACTCAGTTTAACACGGTAGTTTTAATTTTGCTTCTGTAGATGAGTTGAGCTGAGTTATTGGAGTGCCTGGCTATTATGCCTGAATGGATGAAATTTTTTTCTTTTTTTATTTTTGTTCTGTGTTGTTCTCTTCCTGGAGGTGCTAAACTTGAAGTAATCCTGTGGTGAGGTCAGCAGGCCTACGGGGTACCTGGAATATCGACATATTCCTACCGCTGCTGTTTCGTTTGGCACACTTACACTCTGTGCGACTTCTTTTTTTGGTTTTTTGTTTTGTTTTTCAATGCTGCACTGGATTGTGAAAGGGAAAGTCCTTTATTCTCTGTTGCTTTGTCAGTGCCCCCAAAGAATACAGTTTTCTCAACTCGTGAGGGAAACGTGGCGCTGACTTCCTAGAAGTCAAAGTTGCAGAGCAGGTTGACAGATAGGAATGTTATAAAGGAAAGTGGAACAAAAACAGTATTAGGAGAAGGTGTGTCCTTGAAACCTAAGCAGAGAACCACAAGACAACCTTTAGTAACGGAATGGTACAAGGTAGAAAGAGCAACTTGCAATCTTCATGCTGATCTTCAGGTTTCAGGCATATTGAGGACCATGGCCTTGTGAGCAGGGTGGTAATATTCCCCACCCGTTTGCTGTTGTCTTTTTTCAGAGAAACCTTTTGCATCCAAAGTGGGACCTTAGCAGAGGTAAAAATATGGGATGTGCTTTTTCCGTCCGGTGTTTCTAAACTGCAAAAACACCTCCTAATGCCAAACATGTGAGACCCACTTCTTCAGAAAAGAAACAAAAGACTTTACCCAACCTTTAGTTCCAGCCAGGCGATCCTAATTTCTATTGCAATTTTCTTCTCTGTTTCTCCCAAACTTCTGCTGAGTGCTTGTAGAAAGAATTGAACTATCCTGGAACTGGAACAGACTGTAGGGAGCTTGTTTCTACAGCTGAGCTGAGACGGATGTTTTTTGGAAGGGGGGATGGAGAGGGGTGAAGGTGAGAGGGTTTACCATTGGCTTTCTTTTCCTTGCACTTCTTATGACATCTAAACCAAGCTCCCTGTTTGTTACCATAATCACATCACACGTACCTGCCGTGAATTGCCATTTGTACCAGACTGTTACTAAATCATTAGCACTGATCATTTCTTCTATAAACGAAACTGTCTTTTAGTCTTTGTGACAAGAGATAGGTGTGTGGGTTTGTTTTTTTTTTTTTTTTTTCTGAATGAAGTAGTTATTGGAGTAGTGCCATGGACACTAAGGATATTTTTTGAGAAAGAAAAAAAACACATCGGTCAGTTACTGCATGTGTTTGGAAACTTCTATTTATTCTATGAACTTAAAATGTTTTAGTACAATGTCATCAGCTCTCTTTGCTGTTGTATGTGTGCACTTATTGCAAGTAGATTTAAGGATCTTTTTATTTGAATGTATCTTAAAACAGCAGATAGAATAACAGTTGATTCTGAAAAAAATCATAGACTTAATGGACCATTTTATATACCCAAAGGAAGAAAGCAATACCATATGAGAACTGAAAGTGTAGAAGTCAGTCATGCAATTGGGAAGTATTACTGAGCCTTTACCCAGGCAGTAGCGGCTGTCCACCCACTGGAGAAAGCAATTGTAACACATCTGAAAGATGAAATTCCAATTTTTCTTCACTAATATCAATAAAATAACAGAAAAGTTGCATTGTTGTGTGTCATTCAACTTTTTTCCTGTTCTTTTAAGGTGGTAAATATTCCAGCCCCATCCCTTGCTTTCATCTCTCAGTCAAAGCAAAACAGGAGCCCAGCACCAGGTTTGGGTTTTTAAATTCTTAAGAGTTCGGAGATTTTGAGATTGCTGTAACTGGTGAAACTTAGGTCAAATCAAGAAGCATAGAAGTGGATGCAGTTTTTAATTTTTATTTGCATTCCAAGAAAGAAGAACTGGATGTTGTGTGGTTTGTGCATTTTGATGGGTGTGAACTCTCCTGCCTGATATGATGTGAAAACTAGAGTGACAAAATGTGAAAGGACAGAGTAAGGAGACAGAAGTAAAATAACTGCGCTGACAAAGAAGGCCCTAGGGGGCCCAAAGAAGGGATAAGTGCAGCCCACGGAGGTCAAGGGCAATCCAAGCTGAGCCAGGATGAACTCCTCGAGGTACGGAAGGAACAACTGGAGCTTGTCCAAGGGTAGGAGGTCTGCCAGGGTGCAGCGCTGTTCTTCTCTGGGAAATGCTTTACCCTGGAGATTTCAATGGATTTTGGAGGAAACACCCAATTTCTACTTCTGGAAACAACGCTGGCATTTAGAAAGTGTCTTGAGTTTCTCCTTCAGGACAGTAAATTACACCATGGAGTAATAAAGACTGTGAGCTACCTGGGAACTCAGCTGATAGATGATTTCAAAGCAGAACAGAACTACTGGCTGGTGAATTGCTGCCTCTGCTCTGCAATGCTCCGCCATCCTTGCAATCTGTTGGCGCACACGTATCTGTTGGCAGCTCCCCACATTGCATGGAAAAGCCCAGCACTGTGGGTGAGACGTGTCCTGCCTTCCCACGGTACAGACGGGATCTGCTGCCTGCAGCTCACGTTCACGGTGAGGAATCAGCATCGTTCAGCCATGCTGCGGCATCTCGCTGGGCACCCTTCAGATCTACTTTAATTCCCTTAACAAGCCCATTGAGACCATGGAATAACAAGAAAAATAAGGCCTGAAAGCTATTGGTGTTTAGCAACCTCCTTAGCTGTCATGTAGGCAGTGGGCTTTCAAGCAAGAATGTTGTATACTGGAGAAGTCAATAATGTTTGTATTTAAAAGATTACAGAGATTTTTGTCCTGTTGAAATAGGCTTCAAGTTGTGCTGGATCCAACTCTTGTTCCATTGACACAGGCACTTAGGGATGATTAAAGCTTTAACAAGCCCACAGCCAGATTTCTGTATTTCCTTAAGATAATTTTAATGAACTCAGGGGATACAAAAATCAAACGGAGAGAAAAGCCTTTTGCTGCTCTGCTAGGACATTCTAATATTCTCATTTTGTCTGACTTGCAGGTTCCTCCACTCAGCCATGGAGAGGGATGGGCTGGTTGTGCTGGGGGTGCTGCAGCTCTTCATAGACATCTTCAGCGACCTTCAGAAGGGAGAGGAATGGGACAAAACATCTTTGTCCCTCCGTTCCCCTGCCTGGAGGAAATGAGACAGAAGGTAAAAAAACCAACCCACAAACACAAAGGTTTGGGTTTTTTTCTAATGACAACGTTCCCCAGCAGTAAGGCCAGATTTGTAACATCCCCCACTGCCAGCCCCCTGCCATATTGCAGTGTGGCAATATTACATCCTGCAATAAATAAGCCAGGGATAGAAATATTTTAAAATGGTGTTTGAACATTCCTGTCATTAAAGGACAGTAAAGTAGAAACTCACTTTTCTCTCAATTGACTTTTAAAGGGACCTTGCTTTGGTGGGAAATGTGTGTATTTTTAGATTCATTTGTATTTTCCCCAGTTTAAAATTAATTAGTTGAAAGTTTTGGGGAAAAAATGGGTGCTTGGGACTATTTTCCTGTGGGCAACAGTCCAGGAGAGAATTCAGAGAATTCCCTGGAGGATTCAGGTGCTCAGAGTCCCCATGTGCTGGTTTTGCACAAGCAGAGATCCCTGCCTGCCTGGAAGTGTGGGCCTTGCTGCCCTGCTTTGTGCCAGGTAAGGGCTGGGCACCATCATCTTTGTCTCAGCTCAGGGAACTTTCCTGGCCCCTTCCCCGAATGACTGCTTGGCTCAGCACACGGCAGGGGATGCTCTGTTTATTCTGTGATTCACAGCCCTCAGCAGGACTTTCACATATAGCTCACAATAGAAAATAAATAAGCCAGGAAGGGGAGACACGTTGGTCTTGTTCCTCTTTTTCTTTGAACTTTATCACTGGTGACTGTTCACTACACACACATGGGCTTGGTGTATAGCTCAGTCCTTTACAAATGGGGCCACCGTGAAGATAGCTGGCCTCTTCTGTGTTGTGTTTATATTCAGAGAAGTTCCCCTCAGAGTTCCCAGCTCTTGGGACTGTCACTGTTCCTTCATCTGCCTGCTCAGCACATGGAACATACACTGCAGAATGAAGGCATTTTCCTCCCTCTCTTTATAGTAAGACACCGAGCAACATGCGGTGACAGGACAAGAAGGGGTAAATGAAATTATTTTAATATAATATCAGTGTATGAGAAACCACAAAAGAAAGAAAACATTTTCTGGAAAATTCTGCATATGTATATATTGCATTGTATAGTCTTACAGACAAATTTACATCAAATACATGAGATATTTTAAAACACTGATTTGAAGAGGACAACTAATTAATTTTTCTGTACAGACATGGGAGAGTGTTTTTTTTTTTTTTTTTTTTTCTGGTTGCTATAGCTTGCTCTTCTTTAGGAGGGATACTCATATTCTTCAGCACTGCGGCGTCCAAAATCCATCCAGCCCATGTAGTCTCTGTCATTTATCCTGTGCGTAGGGTCGATGCTCTGTACCCTGTTTCCCATCACTGAGAGCCTTCCAGTGGGACCTGAAGAAAAACATTTGGGAGAGCAGAGGGTAAGTGGACAAATTTTCCTGGTTAGCCCATTTTATAAGTCTGTTTTGTCCTTATTAGCAGATGTCTGCAATCGTTGAAACTGTCTGACTTCATACAGACCGTGTCACACCACATCATGTCATTGGGGAAAATGTCACAGAAACGTTATGGGCAATGTCTTGTCTTGGCCTTTCTGTCTTGCTGAGGGTATCAGAGAGACACAAACTTTGCAAAGAGAATTTATGCTTCTAAGAAAGGCTGTAATTCTCCATTTTGACATCATCCCATTATGTAACTAAAAATGCAGGGAAAGGTAAATTATTTCTCTCTGTAGTCCCTGAAAACAGCCAAAATTGACACCTGCCAATAATTAGATGGACCTTAAGCCTCGAGTGAGACAGAAACAGATTCAATAGATTAGTGTTTAGTACAGACTGAGCTTGAGGAGTACTTGAACTGATCAAAAAGGAAAAGAAGGCCCAGTCGAACCCCACAAACCCACATCTACACCATTGCCTTGCTTATGGTTTCTTGTGTTTTGAAGGAACCCCTGGTGACTCTCTGCTTTCATCTGTCAAGGTTTTCCTCATGTCATGAGCTATAATGAACATGATCTATTAAAAACCTGATCAGCTGCTTTGTTTTGTTAGTGGTTGCAGAGGGATGAGAGAGTTAAAGGTACCAGAAAAAATTAATCCAGCCATGTTTTAGACATTTACCTAAAACAAAAAGGCAAAAAATTAATTATCTCTAGAAAAGGATGTCGCCCATTAAATGCTCAAACCCCATGAAATCCACATTCATAATTCAGAATCCGTAATTAAGCTGATGAGAATGGCTTCTTGGCACTATGAGCAGGCAGGGCTGCGACAGCGCAGAGCCATCGCTCAGATGTTGGGACTTAAGAGCCTCCTGAGCCCGCAGTGACCCGCGGGCTGTAATGGCTCCCCAGGTGCCAGTATGGTCTGGCCTGGCAAGGGCTCCTCAGAGGGCAGTAGACGTAACTCTCACCAACTTGCCAGCTACCACATCTCTTCTACATGGTGCCAGGGTCATACTGAAAGCCTGCAGATGGAGTTAATGGAAAGCCAGGTCACAAAGAGTAAAATGAATTTCTTAATGGCACCTGAATTACCTTTCTGCAAACCACTGGAGATGTCCCGTGGGTGCTGCAGAATCGATGTACAGCAGAGGTATTCAATGTTGCAGCAGTTTGGCTACAGGGCTGCCATCCAGCCCTAACCTCTTGAAGGAATTTAACCTCTCACTGCTTTAACTGGAAATATTGTCCAAAACCAGCCTTTCTATTCATCCGAAGGGCAAACACCACCAGTGATGACTGCTGACACTAGCAAATGCCGACTCCCTTTCTCCCTAGTGAGTATTATGGTTTAGACAGGTTAAAAGTGACTAATACAGCAGATGCAAGTGTTCTGCAGATTTCTCAAGTGCTGCCCAGAACCTTTATGTTAAATAAGAATATAATGTTTTGATGGGAACACTGTACATATTACTGCAAATTAAGTAAATGCTGGTTTGTCCCTCCCATAAGTAGCAAGTACATCTGTGAACCAGAGTCCAGCTAGCCTACTCATGCCACAAGAATCCCATTGCCTGCTTTGTAGAGTTAATGATATATGTCAATTAACAGGAATGCAGGAAATTCTCCCTCACGTTAATACTTACCAAAAAGACGTCTTAAATCCAAAGTGCTTTTGTCACTTCATCTGGGTAAGCTATTTGGAAATGTCAGCCAGGTATTTAAGAGAATATAATGGCTGCATAAACTAGAAGGAGGAGTTCAGTTTCCCCATAGGTGGGTGACAACAGCTACTTGGGGAAAGGTGATGAGGATTCTGCTTCGTAGAGTCCTGCAGTAAGATTCTTTTTCCCTAACAGCTTTAACTGTTTAACCTAACAGGAGTCGACATGTTTGGAAGCAAATCACTGCTTAGTACTAATTACTGCTTTTAGCTACTGTGTTCATAAATGTGAATTCTGATGTTTTAAAAGCTTTCACACTTTTGTACTTGTTCCTCTGGGAACAAACACATGGAAAATGCAATATTCATCAGATTTCCCTGGAGAAGGTATTTCTGGCTGAGGTGAGGTTAGCCATTTCGGCTGTATGTAGCCTCAGAAAAGTTTTTCTGCTCTTCTAAAAAGGGAGGGAGGAGGTTAACTAAATGAAAAAGTTTAAAGAAAGTGCAATCACTGTATTTTATCTGAGACACAACATGCTGAAAAGAATACCAACATATTTATAGGGCTACGAAAATAATTAAGTTAAAAATGAAAGCGGAGCTATAACCTGACAGGTAGGTTACATTTTTATCAGTGACCTGTACGCAGCTCTCAGTCAGTGGCTGCCACACACAAATCTTTTCTGGAGGAGTTTTTGCAGTAAATAAGAGAAGGCTCCCTGCTTCAGGAACAACCAAGCAAAACCTACCTCCTGTCTTCTCTAGGAATTCATGCTAGATGATGCCAGGGTCACCTTAACACTTAGGTATCCCTGCAGGAAATCCCACTGACACAGAAGGAACACCCAGTAAGATATAACCAGTACCTCTCCTGGCTTGCTGGAGATACTTGGCCAACAAAGCACCAAGGTTGGCTCTCTGGTCCGTGCTCCCATCCAGCCGTGGCGCTGATTTCAGTGGTCCGGCAGACGAAGGGGCCCGGGCGTGCCGGCGATGTTCTGTCAAGCTCTGCTCGAGCTCAGCAGCCAGCGGATTCCCATGGCGTGAGCCCACAGTTTGCTGTCCGAACGAGCTTGCCGAGAGCACAGCGAGGAGCACGCAGATGCATATACCGCCGTACATCGCTGGAGGGAGAAGGAATGACAGGCTGTTAACATGACCAAGTTTGCTATGTTGTATCTTGTCCCTACCCCCATCTTCCATTGGGGGTACTGGTTTCTGAGCAAACGAGAGCTGTGGGGGCTTTGATTTTAATGCAGGTCACTGTGGGATCTGTCCTAGGCTGGGAAACTGGTACACAAATAGTTAAATAAGCATTGGTAAGAGGAAGATACTTGGGAAGGAATACAACTAATTCACTGGATTATGTGCCATGTCTCCCTGATGTACTCAATTTGCATTTTCTTTTCTTCTTTGGAAGCTGCATTGCATTAAAGCACAAGAGAGATGTATCCAGCTCTGTGAAAAATCTCAGGATTCAAACACCACAGTATTTTGCTGATGTACTAAAATCTGTTGTTATTACAAATGTTCAGTTTTGACAAATTCTCTGAAGAACCTTTACACTATCAACCCTTCATTGGTTTGAACTTTAGTGTTCAAGAGGTTTCACCTTGTCATACACAGAAAGAAAACACAAAAACTTGTTCCAAGGAAAGAAAAAATGCAATCTAACACCCCCTCCACAAGCATTTGATCTAGAAGCTGGCATGGTAAATTAAAAGCTATAAGAAATAACATGCAACTTAACAATATTCTTCTTCATATAAAACAGGGAGTTCAAGTGTAACAATTTTTTTGCTGCTTCCTTAAACAAGCATTACACAAAACATTGTCATTTTACTAGACTGCTTGATCATGTAAGATCAAATAGTATTTTTCTGGAAACACAGGAATGACTGTCAGTTATCAGGAAAAACAAAGTACCTCGTACTTAATGCTATGAGGTAATTTCCATTTATAAATATACATTAATTGTTTCATCTATAGGAAAATTTTTGGAATAATTTAAGTTTTTGAACAGTATACTAAACATAGTATTTTAATTTTAAAATATGAAAAAATTATATTTATTCGCCTGCCACATACACCAGATGGAAACCGTCTGTGATGCATAAAATATGTTTTTTTTAGTATTGTTAAGAGATGAATTAAAAATGTCAAAACACCACCCCAGCACATTTATTAGCTTTTGGTACTGAGAAACCAAAGGTGCGGCACATCCTTTCTCCGGAGATATCTTTAACCGATCTGATTCCTGTATTTTTTACATATATCTATATATTTACAGCCTCATACCGACTCCAAACTCAACATCTCACCCCAGGTAGCTGGTTTTTTTCTCAGCCCACTCGCTCCGGAAGACC